GTGTGAGTGTGTGAGTGTGTGTGAGTGTGTGAGTGTGTGAGTGTGTGTGTGTGTTTTTGTTTTTACATCTTTGCAAAGATAGTTCTGGCCTGTCCAACTGTTTACATCTTTATACAGTCTGTAAAGGCTTCGCAACATCTTAGGCACAGCATAGCTAAAATACTTTAGAGTAGCGTCCGTCCCTGCTCAGAGTACCTGAAGCCTGCGACAATAAAAGTCATCGCAGTCCTCCAAGGCGTCCGCCTTGGCAACCTGGCTCCAGATTGCTACTGATTCGGATTTGGGTCTTCACTCTCCCGAGGAACGACAAGTCGATGCATCGGCCATTCTAGGTACTCTGGGCCCAGCTCTGAACCCACAAAGCACTTGGCAGGCAGACCTCAGCCTTCTCCTTTGCCTGTTTGGCTGCTTCGGCTGCGGCTGTCTGCTCGTTTACCTTCTTATCCGCAGCCGCTATGGCCTCGAGGCAACTGGGACAAACAAGGAGCTCGAAGCACCGTCTCCATCCATACACCCGTCAAACCTCGTCGGCAGCTCTGATGGCTTCCTGTGTGGCCTTCTCGGCTGCTTTCCTCGGCTGGAACAGCAGTGGCTCTTGCCGAGCACCCGTGTAGCATTCTACATTCCAGAAGCCCCGCTGGCTCCTAGGAGATTGTACACATACAAGCTTCTTCGCATCTGCGGCATCTTGCAGCGCGTAAACTTTTTCTGCCTCCAAAGCTTGGAAGCCCTGCTACCAACCCTTTCATTGAGGACATAGAGTCGTGCCCACTCCACAATGCAGCACGCGCGACAGCCCGAGCCCGCCTTTGCATCTTCTGCGGCCTGCTTGGCCTTGAATGCATCCCTGGCCTCCCTTCTGGCCTTTGCAAAAATTGCCTACGACTGGTCACACAGCAGGACTCGAGAATCTGCGACCTTTGCAATGGCGTGCATCTGCATGTGTACATAGGTATGTATTTGTGTCTACATACGTACCTACATCCATCCAGCCCACCATCCGACCATCCATGTGTGCAATATATCCACAGACATCAACGTATCTGCCGTTCCATCCATCTTTACAATCTCACTGCAACACTGGCAGGGGCAGTCTCGAAGACAGCGGAACCGGCCTATGGTATCAAGTTTCTGGTTGAGTACCACACTCAGTCTTGAAAGTGGACGGCGGCCAGCTAGCGGTACTCATCTCTGCCATTCCAACTTCCGAGTTTTGTAGCAGGTTATGGCATGCGCAAAGTCGTACACGAGTATCGCAGCGTCACTTCCCACCTGCTCCTCAGCTGCTTTCCTAGCAGCGTCCGCTTTCGCGATGGCCTCCTTCTTGTCGGCCTGAACATACAAGCCGGGCATCTTCATGCACCACGAGTACTTCTCCAATGCACGCTGTCAACATTGCTGTCCCTCTTTGCACATTGACCACGTTGACCCCATTACGTACCCGCTAAATAATACCGCCTCGGCTTTCTTCTTGGTCGCCTCGGCGTCCTTAATGGCTTTCTCCTTGTCGGATGCAGCCTGACAAGTCCATGCAGGCCTGGGACTTCGGTAGACAAGCTGTGATCTGCTTAAACAAGACACCAATATGTCGACAGTAACTTCCTGCATAGGGTATAGGGCCGCAACATAGAGAATCACACACAAGCGACCACGGCCCTTATACGCTCTGCACCTGCTCAGCTTTTGCCTGTGCCGCTGCAGCCTTGTCCGCCTCTGCTCGCACCTTGAATGTTAAAGGAATGAAACCGTCCACACAGCGACTGCGGAATGGCCTTGCCCCTGCCCCACCGAAGAGCTAAGGCCCGAAATTTCCATGCCGAGACTTGCACACGCTCCTCTGCCTTTTGTCTCGCTCGCTCTGCGGCCTTTCACGCCAAGCTTAGGCTCAGCAATGCGCTGGTGAACCCCTTTGCTAAGCTTGCACACAAAGTCAACCCAGGATTGCTTGAACCACAGCAGTCCTGTCTGTGCAGCTCTGCAGCTAGGCATGACGATTAAGAAACACAAATTCTTAACAAATCTGCGTGCAAACGTGCTCGAGCAGCAGTGGTGAGCTTGCTGACCATGCTATCTTGACATTCCAGACCTTGATGAGTATGATGAAAGCACCACGGTCCAAGAATAGATTGCCTTCGCCATCTCCTTTCTTTCCTCTGCTGCTTCCTGCACCATTCCCAGAACAGCTACATCTGTCAAAGTAATTGCTTTAGCACACTGTCGACATAACAGTGTTTGCCACTTGCCTCTCTCGCACGCTGAGCTTCCTTGATCCTTAAGTTTTCGGAGACACCGAAGGAAAAGGATGCTGCTCTTCTATCTTTTAGCGGCTTGCAGGTTTGGCATCTGGAGTTCCTGCCAGCTTGCAACGGAAACCCATTGAGATGCCTCACTGAACTGAGGAGTGCGACGGAGGTCGAGAGACTCTCTCTCCCTCTCTCTCTCGCTCAGACTGTCGAAAGACTCTCAAGCAAGACATAATGAAAAGGGAATGCCTCACCTGCCACCAAGCATCGCGTACTTGGTCTCTGCCTTAGCTTTTACCACCTGGAAGGAGGACAGCAAGAGCATGATTTTTACTTGCAGATGCGGAAGTGATCCAGCACCGGCAGACCTGCCTTCTCCGTGGTTTCCCATATCTTGTCCTCCGCTGCTCGGAACTTCTTCTCAGCATGCTGCTTGAATTCTTCCCTTGGCAACCAGATTCCCGTGACGGGCAGAAGCATGTCTGTAACTTCCTGGAAAATGCTCATCTTGCTGCACTACTCCAGTGGCACGTGTGGCACGCGCGTGCAAAGTCGTAGAGTGCACGTCTGAAGGCTCGTTCAATGAACTACGATCTCATGCCTTCATACTTCACGCGCCAATTCAGATGCGATTCGACTTTTGCTGCATGAACTTCTTCTCTTTGTGGCTGACCTGGGTCGCACGGACAGGAAGGTCGTTGCAGCTGCTTGCAGCTGCAAGAGGGCCCAGGCCTCGAGGTCCTCAGAGAGCTTCTCGATGTCCTTGTCTCTGCCTGAGCCACATCCACTAACAGTTGCACCGAATCTTGGCACGCGGGTGTTTGCTAAGATCCGCTGCTCTTCAGGCTTGCTGAAAGGCTTTGAAGCTCTTTCGCGAGCTCCTCGTTCTCACTGGTTGAGACCTGCTCTGCACACACTCTGCACGTGATACAGCAGCTCAGCACCAGCAGGCCTCCAGTTGCTTGGACAGCTTCTTCTCCTGACGGAGTTATTAAAGATCAAAACGCAAAGAGGTAGCCTTGTATCCCGAAAGAATAAGAATAATCGAGGCAAGGCACGTTTTCAGCGACGATCTCAAGCTGGCCTTGGGTGGAAAGTCTACATGTGCATGTGCTTACACATACTAATATACATATACATAAGCATAAACGGATAGCTAGATTGAGTTGGATAGCTAGATAGGAATGTCACGGGACAGGTGCAGAAGTTACTCACCGATAGCTGCAGCTGCTCCTCGTGGGTGTTTACTGGCTGGATGTAGAAATAGTCGGAAGAACAGCCCACAGAGGAGGCTGAAGACGGACGAGCTGTAAGATCCTGGCTAATCCGAGCGAGCAATTTCTGATTTTCCTCCTCCATCACGGGCAATCGCTCCTCCAGCTCCTGCCCGCACACAGAGAGCAAGTCAGGTTCAGCGACAGTAGTGATCAATGGTAGTTTAGAGGTGTTAGAAGCGTTTCCGCAAAACAAGGCTTGAGGCTTAGCAGCCGTGAATGCCGACCGCTTTCAGGAGTTGGCGCCTTGCTCTTTTTCGCAAACTTCTTCATCATCTGGTAGTAGTTCTGCTCTCGTCCTGCGAAGCGTGTTGGAAAGTGGGGGAAGCCCGAAGCCCTTGCATCTCCAGCCCTTCCCCCTTTCTGCTGGTCCTGCTGCCTCGACTGCAGCCTCTTTGAGGATCTCGGTTTCCTTTCTTAGTTGGTCACCTCGACATCACATCTCCCTACAGAGCCTACATTTCCGCGGACGCTTCCTTGAATAACTGCACTCAGGCTATCCTGTCACGAAGGAACTTTGACACTGCACTTCGGGCGATCTCTTGCTCGTGCCTTCGGCCATGACTTCCGTGAGCTTGGCATTCAGCAACTGCCCGCAAGGCAAAATGTGGAACACGGCAACGGCAGATGCATCGACTGATCGAACTGCCGCGGCCAACACCCATTTTGCCTCCTGCTGCTCTTTCGAAGCCTTTAAGCTTTCTTCGACGCTACGGACCTGCCAAACATGCATGAAGAGTTCTCCCTCACCGCATCCAGCAAATGCACAGACTCAGGCAAGCGGAGCTTAGTACTTCGCACTGGCTTGAGGGGGCCTTGTCCTCCAGAGCTGCATTTTCCTTGCGAGCCGTCTTCAGCTCGCTAACAACCTGCGGCAACTGCTTTTCCTTGACCAAAATAAGGTGACCAAAAACGTCTGGAATGCCCAGGCCTGGCTGGTCTCGTTCCTCGAAGAAGTTAGCCTCGGAAAACGATTGAGGGGGACACGGAAACAAGAAACCTTCGAGCTGCAGGAGGGCGTCAAGTTGCTGAGCACGGGGCGCTTCTTTAGTGTCCGTGAGCTCGGTGCGGATCTTCCCTTCCTGTGGAATATCTCACCAGAGGTGTGTCAGCCGATCCATGTTGACAGAGCAAGGACAGCTGTCATGCTACGAGCCAGAAATCTGGTGGAAAATGATTGGCTCAACATCAACGAATTGATAGCTGCGCTTGCCTTCTTCGCAGCTGCATCCCTTTCCGCCTGGTTGCGGAAACACACACGACATGAGGTCAATCTGACAACGGACCGGCCCCATGCCTGCATCTGCTTGTCAAGCTCCCTGGCCGTCACAGCATAAGAGTGATGACAGCTCATCTCGAAACTCTTGTTGGACGGACTTGGGTTAGCAAGGCATCACAACCACCCCTGTCCTCACTGTGATTGTCAGCTCCTTCTTCTTCTCTTCAAGTTTCGCGAGCTGCTCCTGTTGAAGTGAAGACAGATTGGGGCCGGGCGCTAGTCAAAACCTGGCACAACAATAACGGGCCTCCTTCTGTCTGGCTGCCTCCTCAGCATCCTTCTTGTTCTTTTCATTTCGCTCTTGCTCTTCCCTGACAACGTCTGAAGCGGAACCAGCTGTCGTTGTGCACTTAGCTGTCATTGGTGCCCATGGCATGGGGCCCACACTTGAGCATCTCTTCCAGCTTCTGGACGTCCTGTGGTCGGCAGGGTGCAAGACGAAGAATCCCAGGAGCCTACAGAAGACCAGGTGCAGACCACACAAAGTACTCACTCAGTCCTGCCGGAGCTCGTCCCGATCCACCTTACAGCATTCAAACTCTTGTCGAGATAGAAAGATGAACATTTCTGCAACTGAACCCTCCAGCCTGAAGCTTCTCGTTGGAGATCTGGGACATTTCTAGCTGGTCACTGACGCTGGTGTAGGTCTCCTGGGCGGCCAAGCTGGCGTGTCTCTGAGTCTCCGATACCTATGCCCACAACCGTGCAGGCCTGAAGGGCCTCAATGCGTTCTTTCAGTTCGGTTCCGACACCTGGGCGGAGGATTCGTGAGTCTCTGTATCTTGAAGGAATGTTGTCTAATTCGCCAAGGCCCCCGGCGAACCTCTTCCGCAATCTGGGCCTAGGGACGGCAGTCCAAGTGGCCAGGACCAGTGCTCCAGGCCTTCACTCGGACCTCCATCTTCTTCTGAATCTCCTCTGTTTGCCGCTCCATCTCGGCAATCATCTTCTCTTGCCTGCAATCCGTCAGACTCAGACAAAACACGCGGGAAAATGCAGAAAAGAACTCGCCTCGCCTCTTTTTCTGTGCCTCTAGGGCCTTTTCCAGCTCCGCCTGCCAACCGCACCCCACCACATTGGAATCAAGCACAAGCAACATCCAGTCGACTGAGACCTCGCGGCTTCCAAAGAATTCTCGGATTCCCTTCAAAGCTGCTTCTCCGCCGTCTTGACCTTGTTCACCCGCGAGCAGCACTGCATCACACAGTGTCCGCACGGAGTCTGTTTCCTCGTGCTTAACGTGGAACTGAGCTCCAAGCTTGCAATGGAGGCAACATGCCTGACCAATCAACAGTCTATGCAGCTTTTCAAAAGCCCGCTTTCGCAGAAACACTCGTTGCAAAAAGGCACCGCCTGTGCCTAAACGCGCTCGCAGAAAGACAGTGACGAAGCATGCTTTCTTCTGGACTTCGCACTGAATGAGGATCATTGCTCACCCCATGTCATGGTGCAAGGCCCCGGCTGCATCTCTTATGGTGGAACCACTGGGGCACAAACCCGCTCAACTTTTGACCGGCGGCATCTTGAACCGGTCCCGGAGGCGGTTTGGGCGGAGCCTTCAATTGACTGCAACGTCTCGAGTGACATACTGGGCCAAGTTAACCCTCACCGAATCCCTCACACACTGCTTGGATCACACCGACCTCGGGTTTCGATTCCTTGGGCTTCTCCTTCTTGTCATCTGCTTTGGCCTAGCATTGGCGCATCAGAGCGGGCATCTCATCAGGCATGACCATGTTCAGACAACGTCGAGAGGAAACGCGCCTCTGATTTCTGCTCCTTCTTTGGCTCAGCACTCTCCTGAATGCTAGGGTATGGACCGGAAGACGCGCATGACTGCGAGGTTTATTGTTAAAATGTCCTTCTTTTCCTCCTTTTTTTCCTCACTGTCCTTCTTCTTTTCTTCCTCTGCTCGCAGATCGTGGGAAGTATTCTGACGCAAGACGGTTCAGTCAGTCAGCAGTGATTAGGATCTACAAGCCGTCGGCAGCTTTTTCGCGTTGCAATTAGAGTGCTCCTGACGCTCACGCAGCTGTTCGCAGCTCGAGATAGCAAGATGTTGCTGGGTAAGACTGTGTGTGTGTAGATCTATGCATGCATGGAGGGTGGGTTTGGATCCCCCATCAAACCCACCCAAAAGTTATGCGACAAGTAAGCTGCAAAATCCGTCAATGAGTTCGTCTGCCGCTTGAAGACTGATATACTGCTCCCCTCAAGCCTGCAGTCAACAGCACAACGACAACTCGTGGCGGCATGTGGCGGCAGAGGTCCGACTCTGTGGGCACTCTGGTCCGTCTACCATCTACTGCACACATGCTACACAGTCTTCTGTCCTTCTTGTCTTCCTTCTTCTCAGCATCTTTCTCTACCTTGGCTTCTTCCTTGGGCTTGTCACCGGCGGCTTCCTTTTTTTCCGTCTCCTTCCAATCTGTGCCCACACGATTCAGGTCACAATGGAAAAGATGAGAAACAGTCAGGAAGGAAAGCAGGCAGGGGCAGAGTAGTCAGGGTGTGCCGACGGATCCGACGGCAAACTAAAGCAGCCGGCGTTGACCTCATCACCTATGCGGTCCGACCTTCTTCTCGTCCTTCTCAGACTTCTGCTCCACCTTGTCTTCCAAAAGGCAGTTGTCCATGCAAGGACCTCATACCTTATGCCTCTCACGTTCAAGCTGACATGACAGACATTTCGAGACTGCCTTGTCGCCCTCCGACTTGCCATCCTTCTCTGTGTCTTTCGGCTTCTCTTCCTTCTTGTCCTCCTTCTTCTCCTCCTTTTTCTCGTCCTTCTTGTCTTCTTTCTTTTCGTCTTGCTTGTCCTCCTTCTTCTCCTCTTTCTGGTCCTCCTTCTTGTCCTGCTTCTTTTCCTCCTTCGATTCCTCTTTCTTGTCCTCCTTCTTGTCCTCCGTCTTATCTTCCTTCTTGTCCTCCTTCTTCTCATCCTTTTTCTCGTCCTTCTTGTCTTCTTTCTTTTCGTCTTGCTTGTCCTCCTTCTTCTCCTCTTTCTTGTCCTCCTTCTTGTCCTCCGTTTTATCTTCCTTCTTGTCCTCCTTCTTCTCTTCCTTCTTGTCGTCCTTGCTGGCATCTTTCTCCTCCTTCTTATCCTGCGGCTCCTTCTTGTCGGCATCCTCAGGCTTAGCCTCCTCAACAGCACAGCCGGCCCCGCAAGCTGCAGTTGACAATCACAAGAAACTCTTGCAACCCTAAGGGCTGCTTGCAGAGGCGCCACGAGAAGGAGAACGCCATCTCAAGAACCCCAAGGGGCAAGACAAAGGCAGGCCTTGGGCTTTTCCGACTTGTTGTTCTCCTGATTGTTCTCCGATCCCTGTCTTCAGCGCATATCTTTGCCAGGCCAAAAACCACTACAAGTTCCCGACCTGGCCTCGGAGTTCTTCTTGTGAATTCCAACCTGCCATGTCACAGACTGGTGCAGCAGGCAACCCGGGCCCGGAAGGGTGCTGTCTGCCAGACGCTGCAGACGCAAGTGCAGAACATACTATCGGATTGAACTGTCGGACTCCATGAAACCTGGTCCACTTCTTGCATCAGCTTGGATCGCGGCTTCGGATCTGAACCTACAGGCACAAGCACAAGGCAAGCATGTGAGCCTGAATAGAACTGCTATCGCTTGATTAGCTTTAGGCCACTTAAAGTACCCACTCAGATGCAGACTTAACAACAAACACAGCTCTGAACAGGACCGTGCGCAGCTGAAGAACCTCCTGTTCCCTGGCATTCCTGCCCCAAACCGATGCCCCGCTTCTCAAGTAAGCCAGTTAGAGTTGAGGCCACGACAGACAGACGTACGAAGTGACCTCCGAGGTTTGCCAAGCAAAACATATTGGAGAACTGGTGACTTCTGTTTGCATTTACCGGTGTCTCTTGCACGCCTGCGCTGCCGCTTTGCTAACGCTGCCGCTGCAACAGTAAGCCCTGCGGCCATGCTCGAGACCTGTTGAACAAATGGTGACTGATCCGCTCAGTGGCAATGCAAATCTTTATGTGCGGCCTGCGTCATCGAGGTACCAGCTTCCGAAGAAGCCAATTGAATACTTGCGCCCTGTGCTGGTGACTGTTCATGCTGCCCGGTAGTCCATCAACAAACTGGCACCGACACAAAGCTCGTTCGTCACAAGCTGTCCTCTGCGTTTACAGAGGATGCTCGTGCAGAGGAGAATTGTCTGCCTCATTTGGTCGACGACATCTGTTTAAGAAGCGAAGCAAGAACCATTCAAGTCTCAGACAGCTTGGGGCCACAAAAGTCGTCATTGTCGCCCCTGCCGGGGTGCAAATGGCTGTGCTTTTGCTGAAGCTCCCCGATGTCACTGCAAACATGCTCCAAACGGTCACAAGCTCTCTCTCTCTCTCAGCTAAGGCAACGAGTTCCACATGCACGTGCAGTACACTGGCAATGCCGCCCTCATAGATACTACTCGTGCAGGGTCTTTTCCGGCAGACAACAGACACAATGCTCCTGCGCATGCCAGTGTCATCGCCGCCACTGGCGCTGCTGGTCTCCTTCGCATGGTGCAAAACTATGGAGACTCCTCTTCCATCAATGCAAGAACGAGCCATCAGTGAAGTCATGAAATGTCGTGTCTCAACTCTCGGTCTCAAACGCGCACAACGAACGAAAGATAAGCCTTCTAGCATGAAATGGTGATGTGGGAAGTGAAGATGCAGCTCTGCACGTTCTTGCATGATGAGATGCTGACCTTCTTGTATCGGCGACCATCATGCGCGATGGTTGGCCCATAAATCAGCTCCCTAGTGTTCGAGCCATGCGGCTATGCACAACCAGCAGCAGACTCAACCTGAACGGAAAACGTCTGAAAACTGGAATACGGGGTCAAGCGTTCCGGCGTCTGGAAGGCTATGATGCACAAACGCATTCGGCCACGCAATCATGCGAATCCGTCTTAACTGATGATGTACCTGTGAAACATTATTTCCAACGACTAGTGAAGCTCGAAACTTCATCTGGGAAAACCCACAGCATGGCGACATGATATCGCGTTCGGGAGGCAGAGATTTGAATGATGGCACGCCTGTCTTGGTTCTCCAGGACACCTTGTGAGATAAGTTCGAGATACGCCAGAACTTGCTTCTTCGCCGGATGGCACACAATGACGCAGAGCAACAACAAAGCGAGGACATAGAGTCTATTTCAAGGGGCAAACTTTAGAGCTATCCTTGATGTAAGACATGCAACTCGCACGTCGTAGCTGTAGGAGACCTGTGAAGAGATAGGGGATAGGTTGAACACGTAGACGGACACGCCACACGCTCCTTCTACAACGGACGGGAGCACCAAAGAAAGACTTGCCACAAGCACAAACCTGTCGTCGCATGACTGCAGGAATCTCTCTTGGCACTTGGCATGTTTTTGCTACACGTGCCGCTGCAACTTCAGGTAAGCAACAAACGCGGTAACCTGCCTCGGCACACGGTGCACCAAGGGATCAACGCAGAAGGAAATTACACCTAGAACCTGCCATCTGTGCGATGCAGGCTGCTTGTCGAGTATGGACTCTCCGCTGAAGCTGCCCTCGGACACCTTCCGCTGCACCTCAGCCGCGAGGCGTGTCGTAGCCTCACGCCATGCTCTGTTACTCTGCTAACAAGTTGCAAAGCACGTTACAGGAGATCGCGAGTGGTATCTTCTGGCCTGGCCTGGCCTGGAATATCTTCCTTCAGGATACAGCCGTAGGCCCCTTGCCATTCTGCAGTAATCCTCGTCTTCCGTGGCCACCTGCACGAAGACATTCGGCGAGGTTCGCTCAAGGCACCGCCTTTCCTGCCTCACTGAAAAGGCGGCCCTTGTGCTTGCCGACAGTAAAAGTTTCATCCACGTCATCATCTTCCCTGTCAGCCACTGCGGGTTTGGTAAAACCCTGCAACTTTCGCTGGCTGTATGGCTCGCGCCTGTCGCCATCCCCAGTCCCTGTCCACCGCTGTCCACGACCCTGGCACAACCTGCACGAAACGAATTCCTCGCTTCGTGGATTCTTCTTGCTACCGCGTGCCTCAACCACTCAACAGGCACATCTCCACCCAGCTCAGCCGCTGCAGAAAGCGCCGCGACATCGTAGAGTAGAGTCCTGGCAGCATCTCTTCAAGGGCCCAGATTTCGATCACAGACTCCACCTTCGATAACCAGATTTTATGAGTATCACAAGGCTTGCTTGCCTGAGGCCCTCCAAGGCTGTCGCAAGCAAAGCGTCCCACGCTGCAGTCTCAGGAAAAGGGTGGCGAGGGACCAAACCAAGAAAAACAAGCAACATCCGAATCTGGCCTCCTCGATTGCCAACCATGGATGAGCTTTTGCAAGGCAGCGCTGCCTCTACCGAAGGCGTTTCGTGCTTATAACTTATAACCCGTAACCGGCGGATTCCTTTGCCCACCGCACACTTCCCAGCCTCTCAAAGCTGCAAATCTCTTGGGTAATGGCCCGACGAAATGCCTTCAGGGAAAGAGCGAGTCGAATCTGCAGCAGACCAGAAAGCCCACGCCAACAATCACTACAACAATCAAGAATGCGGAGCTCAGTGTGACTGTATACTGCTGGCACGTTGAACTGCAAACTGCACGACTTCACACCGGTGTTTCGGAAAAGGTGACGAACACGCTTTCACAAAGCCAAGCTCGGCTACTCTTGATCAAAACTTCTCTTGGTTGTTTCCGGGTCAACACGCGCCAGTCTCCAATCAACTTTGAGGCAAAACCTGCACTGCGCTCGAGGTGAACAGCCTTTACTCGTCTTCCCACAAGAAGCGTTCCGACGGCCGTCGGGGCTGTCTCAAGCCAGAAAGTCGACCTTCTTAAGCTGTGGCCATTCGGCCGGGCTCTCGGTGGCCGAAAACTGTAAAAGGCGGACTTGTCAGACTTCAAGCAGCTTGAACATAACTTTCAACAGGCTGCAGTAGCAGTCACAAAGCCACGGTTCTGTTTTCCCTGTGCGAGCTTTTGGGTGCTTGTTTGAGTTGCAAGTTAAACTGCCCGTGAAATGAGCACAGCCCACAGCCAACCCTCAAGAAACTTTGAGCCGCTCCCGCAGTTTCCCTGTGCGAAGTGTGGAGAGTCCTCCAGCTCTCGCAGGAGGTCTTCGGCAGAGGTGGCACCAGACCTCAAGAAAGTACACTTGCAGCTTGGGCCCCGACAATAATCCAAGGATGTTGCTTGCCGTCGGGCGACTCAACCCGCTCGAGCAGGCCGCCAAGGATGCTGCTCAGCTGCCGGCGCCGAGTTCTGGCCAAGCGGCCACGCAGGTAGGCCTGGAACTGCTCGCAGTGCTCCGGGCTGCTCCAGAAGACGTGGCCAAGCAAAACACAGTCGCAGAGCTCTACTTCGCTTCGGCCACAGGTCCAGGCAGCGACCTGCATCATCCGCGCTGATTGGCCAAGGCGTCGATCCGAGAGCTGAACGGCTGGCTGCAGCTTTGCGAAGAAGCGCCGGCAGTCCACCAACACCTCAACGACCTTGGGACCCACCTTCACCGTGCCCGCGAGCTCCTGCGCGTGCTGCGCATCCTCCAGGCCAACGGCAAAGCTTCCTGTCTTCGCGTCACCTGCCGCACCCGGGGGCTTCAAGCAGGTGGCCTTAACCAAGTCCGGCACTCGGACATCTGACACGGGTTTAACCAACAGGCGAAAGAGCAGCCGGTCGTACAAGGCTTCGAGCTCCTCCGACTCCGGAGCTTCGTTGGAGGCCGCGACCAAACATTGCAAAGGAACCGCCACGCGCTCGGGGCCATTGTCGAAGACTCGTTCGTTGACAAGGGAAAGCAAAGTGTTCAGGATTGCCGAGTTGGCCTTAAAGATCTCATCGACGAAAGCAACGGATGCCTCAGGCAAGTATCCCGTGGTCTTCCGGACATATTCATCCCGCTCCAGGCTCTTCAGGGAAAGCGGACCGAAGAGTTCCTCTGGAACTGAGAAGCGAGTCAGCAGTCGCTCCTGACAAGGTCTGCTGAAATTGTGAAGGGCTAAGCTTATCCAGGAATGAGAAACCAAAAGCACAACCTCATCGCTTCTGCGGATAAGCAGCAAAGAACACTGCGTCTGTGCCAACAAACCTTGTAAGCCGCCTCGCCAACAAGCTCTTTGCTGTACCAGGAGGGCCCAGCAGCAGAACGTGCTCTGCGCAGAAAGCGGCCAGCAAAAGGATGCGGACCTCCAGCGAGCGCTCAATGAGGCCCTCCTGCACCAGGGGGTCCTAGGGCCTAGGATTTCGCTGAACCTTCAAGTTGTGACGGGTGTCTGCCTCGAGGTCTGCCACGGCTGTTGAGATGCGCTCAGCCAAAGCTGAAACTTCAGGGACCTCTGGGTCCGCAGCAAGCCAGGACCTTCAGGCACAGGACCCGAAGTGGCCACGTTTTCGATTGAATCCGAATTCAAAGATGTCTGCAGTCATCAATCCGAGTTGCTCGATCTTTTGCTGGGCCACGGCATTGATCTTCTGCTCGGTTGCCTGCAAGACGACTCTGCACACGAGTTGAGCCCATGCGAATGCCCAATGCTGGGGTTCCGCAACAATGCCCATGGCGGCCTCGCTCCACGCAAATCGTGCGAGAGTGCTACGAGTGCTCCGGCGCCTCCAGCCGCTCCTGGTCGCGACTTTGCAAGAGCAAAGCCCCTGAACAAACTGCTGAAAACTCCTCTTGCAGAAGTGTGGGCTGGCCCAGGACACAGAGGCGGCGACCTGGATCCAACATGAGCTGCGAGCCGTTCAAGATGCTACTTGTAGCACGTGTCCAAAGCCCTTCTATTCAGCTTCTGCATCCGCAAGGTCTGCTCAGCAATGAACCAGCTTTGGGGCAGAGCAGAATGAAACATGATGGTTTCGAGGGATCGAGGGGCAACTCGCCTTGCTTGGCTCAACATCTCAGTTCCTACAATTAAAAACCCTTTTTGACCCAGCTACCCTCTCCTTCGCACAGATGGGTGGGCCTTTCCAGGCTTGCTTTCTGGGAGAACTTGCTTGTGTTCCGGCATGTTCAGGCGCAGGGCGCACGAATACCCAAAAAAAAACCCGCACTCATTTTCCAGCTACAAGCACAACCACCGGAGTCGAATTCCGCCGGGTCGCCGCCAGAGGCCCTGCACAGTCGCCTGCCGTCTCGCACCGCGGCCGCGAAAGTGGCCAAATAATCCTTGCATCGGGCATATAGACTCTCTTTCTCTTCTGCGCCCGATGTGACCAAATCTCGCACGACGTTTAGGGAAGCTGAAAAGTCGAAGGGTTCGCTTGGTTCCTTCATGCCATGCAGAATATCATGGATACTCAATGTGTCATTCCTGCCTTGGGCCCAGGACATCTGGTCGATGCTCGGAGCGCCCATCATGTCGAGAGGCAGGCGGATGACTGCATCGCAAAGCCATTAATTAAGATGAAAGCTCGGTTGCATGGAACGCGGAATGGCTCACTCGAAAAAGTTCGAACTATACAGTAGCGACTGCAACATCAAGCTACAAAGCACATCACATATAGACTGACCCAAGCAAAAGCCGGCTTCGAGGCAGCAATGGTCGTCAGAGCTGCAGGCGAGTTCTGACCACATGGACATACAGGGAGCCAAAAGCCATGTAGTCACCACAACACATTTTGCCCAAGCATGTGCGAACTAACCTGTTGTCGAGTCACAAGGAAGAGTGAACTTGCCAGCATCAGAATGCTTCCAGCGATTCTCTATAACAATGAGATACTCGCTGTGAAGCTGGCAAGTCTCTGGCCAAGTCTCAAACGTGCCGTCAGATCGCAACCGAGATATGCGGTTGCTCTTTGGCTGATCCAAGGCAGTGGCAGCGGCAACCGTGGGCTGGAGCTGGACTGAGTACTATTGAAGATGTCAATCTCAGCTGCGCCGCTAGGAGCGCACATCATGCCCTGAAGCAGAGACAGGCCAACCGTGATCCTCACATTGGGTTGCATGTATTGGACATGCGCTGTCTGACTCATGTCTTTGATCTTGCAACCCAGTGGGAAATTCCTTCGGCAAGATTGGCCACTCGAACGATTGCACCCTATAGTCTTCCTAACGATGCAGGAGATATGCTACGACGCTAGTGTCGAGGCACCTGCTGATACGTCCTGGGACAAAAGTCCCTGCCTCAGAGACCCCGGAGCCCAGAGTTCCTGGCGAGCCACATCACCTGAACACTGTGAGACTACGCTGAGATGCTCTGACTGAAATGACGTCGCCACTCTCCGGCCAAGCCACGTTCATGAACTCCGAGCTGCGACCGAGTGCCTCACCGAGTCGAAGTGGCGAAAAGCCGCAGACTCACGCGGCGTCGTCTCATTGTGAACTGACTTCTGTGAGCGAAGGGTCACTCAATGTCACTCAGCGACCCAGACACCCTGCCTGCACTCCTAGGCCACGCATCGGTGGCGCTGTGTAGCGGCGTGCGCTGCCTGGTTGTGGGACAAGGCTAAGTGGAATGGAAGTCGTTGAGTTGATAATCGAATCTGACTGACACGCCTCCTGCTGAAGCTGCCTGCACCCTTCCGATTTGCCTTTGAAATCAACCCGAGGGAGCCAGCACTGTGCCTCCCCATTTGCCCTTCAAGCTCCGACCAGTGGTGAAAACGTACAGCGCCTTCAGGACGGGGCAAGTCAAGGACTCTCAGAGAGGTCGTTGTTTCACGCTCGCACGGCAACACAAGCCCCGGGCTCCCCCTTCAGAAAAAGAAAACCCCCGCCCCTCCCCCCCGCCCCAACCCTAAACCCTGACGTCTGATGGGTGGGGGGAGGAGGGGGAGGAGGGGGAGGAGGGGAGGGGGGGGTGCGTCCTCACTTCGCCCAGAAGTGGGCGACCTAACGACTCTCGTCAGCTCAGACTGGCCCATGGACTCAAGAAGGGCACCTTGGCATAGCGCTTGCGATGTTCACCATCTGTGTCACGTGGCTGCGCCTGCGCAACATGCATCGGTTCATGAGTTCATGAAAGAACCTTACATGAGAACCACAACGAGAGCCCAGCCGCGTCGTGCCACGACACGTCCGAGTTCCATCTATTCATCGCCGCATGAAAGCCAGAATGTGCCCAACAATCAAACAAATGCCCCCATGTTTAGTTCCATCGGTGGCCAGAGTGACGACAGTTATCCTGCATGTCACACAAGCAGCGGACTGCTGACCCTGAATTGGCCGTTGATGGAAGTTGGGACTGAAGGGCTTTTCGGCAGTGAATCTGCCAGCGCGACTTAGCATCGTTGCGAGCTTAGTATCAATACGCTCAACGGCAGAGAATATTCATGACTATACTCAAGCCGCAACGAGATTGCCTTTTGTTGGCATGCACACGCCATGCGGCAGAACCACCAGGCATTCTCAGGGGCTAATCCCAAGCGACGTCTGCAGAACTCTATCATGTAACCGAGCCAGCATTCGAGCCACAAGTGACAGCTGCAAAACCTTCCGAGTGCCTCAAAGTGCTTTCTGACGTCGCACATGCGCAGGCCCTCCTGAAGTGCCACGTTGTGAAGTTGGCAAATCTTTCTCGGGCAGCAGCCGGGCCTTGCAGTCTGCAGTGAAGAGCAGCTTGGCCAAAGAATTGCGATCCTCAAGGTTGTGAGGGTTCTGGAGCCAGCACCTGCGTGGCTACGCTTCAGCAACAGCCAACCGTGCGCCGAACATCAACGAGGATGAACAACAATATGATGCGTCAGCTGTCGCCAAGCAGCAAAGATCCATCGGATGCACGCTCAGACACAACAACGGTCTTCTCGATGGTCTCCAGTACGACGTAGTAGTTATTGCAGGCCTGACGCACCGTGCGGTGGACTTCTGCGGGAATTCAACTGAGGTGACAGAGTGTGAGCAGATCGAAGCACTCCGTCAATACAAAAAAGGCTGCTCCTTGCATCAGACAGTGGACCCTGAACCGCTGGACCCAAGCCTGAAGTCACCCTTGTAGACTTTGCCTGGTTGGTGCATTGTGCGGCAATCGAAATCCAACAACCGCCCAGTAAAAGGCCGGCCCTTGGGACCTCGTGCTCCATGGCCTCGACGTAGACTCGGCACCGGCTCAGCGTCTCCTTGCCGAGCACGTCCTGGTGCACGGGACCCTCGAAAGGGCCCTCTTGAGGAGTCTCGGCTGGGGGAGATGGCGGAGCCTGCGTCTTGGATCCCTTAGTCTCCCAGGACACCGCGCGCGAGGAGAAGACCACCTGAAAAGCACTTGGGCCGACATGTCCAAGCTCTACAAACCCCAACCACCCGGTTCTTGTCTGCAGACTCGCCCAACAGATCAGCTAAGCTCAGTGCATGAACCATCTCAGGTTCCTCGACCTCTTGGATGGTGCGAACCTGGCCGACGAATCAGTGAACCTTTCCTGCACTCGCAACAGAGCGTTGCCTCCAGGCTGCCAAGCTTGTAGATTCGGAATGCGACTCCGTCTTCGGTGACCTGATCAAACCTGAGTGCACGTGCTGCATTGGAACAGCAGAGCCCATGTTCACCCTCTGAAGCCATGATACTCAGGCACTGCTTTGGGAATCACGTCCTGAAGCAGTTCAGACTTCTGCTGCTCAACGGTTCACTGGCATCTAGGAGTCAGGGGCTTTGGGAGCCAAGCTCGTCCTCGAGCAAGCTGTGCTTGAAGTTCTCGTCGACGTCCAACTTGACCAAGCCAAATTTCGTGGGAGCAGTGTATGAGATGCGCCTCGAAACAGTTGTGCTGTGGCGTCGTTGTGCCATGGTGTGCAACTCGCGGATACACGCAACTCGGGACCGGACCCCTCGTTCTCCACCTGAAAGCGGGAAGTCCAAGATCTTGGGAACTCGTTCCCGGGATTTGCCTTGGACACTCGCTCTGTGAAGCCCTTGGAACCGCGGGACCACTGTCTGTCTCAGCTGTGTCAAACGCTTCTTACAGTCCAGGCGGCCATCACGAAGTTCTTGTCGGCGAAACGAACCCGTCGCCGATCGCGGATGCCACGCTCCTGTGAAACGAGGTCAGGCTCACAGATGCCAATCACAGAAACCTGTCTGACACAGCTCTTCACCTCTAGCACAACCCACTCCTCACCAACGAGGCTTCGAACCTTCACGATGTACTCCAGATTGGGGTCCGGGGGTGTGAAAGCATCGCCCTCTTCGGTGCGATCGCACTGGGACACATCAAAGATGTTCAACAGGAGCTTCTGGTCGTCCATCTTCATGCCGTTCCTTAGAGTGTCAGAGACGAGGTCCCTTCATCAAAGATGCTTTGCCGTTTCACATGTGGAATCTCGTGGATGAAAAAACTCGGCCAAGGCTCCATGACTTCCGACGCAGGCTGCTAAGGAAAGCCTCCCAGCAAGTGTGACTTCCCACGCCCTGCCCTGCACCCGGGACACAAGTGTTGCAAGCGTACGCAAGCGTCAAGTGGAGCCTTGCCCAAGGTGGTGCGACCCTCGAGCGACTTGGCATCGCCGCTGCAGGGCGGGAGTCTGCCGCGGAACCGCTCCTCACAGCAGTGCCAAACAGCTTGGGCATAGGCATCTTCCGCTGTCGTCGCTGTCCCTTGCTGTGCACCCCTGCAGCTCCTCGGTGGATAGTGAGAACTTGTCCAAATTGAGATCCACACCTGAAGGCCAATCAGGCGGACAGTCACAGTACATGATAGCACTTGCAGGAACAGAGGTTGGTTCCTTGTGTAACCAGCTCACACATGGACCTGCAAGCCTTCTGTCAACTGTGTCTCGAGGGGACCCGTGAACTTGACAGAAGCCGACCAAGCCTTGTGGCATTTCACGCTGGCCCAGCTGGAAACGCTGTGGCATGAACATCGGCCGTCCTGACCGACAAGACGAACTGCTCGAGTTGTGAAACCAAAATCATATACAACGAGACAATAGAGCTAGGCCCCCCTGATACATGAGTAGTATGGAGGCAAGAACAGCTACGTGATCTTTCGGCCCTTGTATCTTCTAGTGACTGTTTTTGCACAGCGAATCTCTCAGAATGCTGTGCAGATGCTTACTTCTTGCATGAAATTGGCTCTGAGATAGACTCAGCTGCATACTTCTCAGCATGGCAACACGATTGAACAACAGAACTTGTCCTGACTGGCCCAGCTGCATTCCAGTCCTTGTTACTTTAGCGAGCGAATAGAAGCAGCAGCACTTGCAAGTTCCTCCGGCATGCAACTTGTCGGTTGCGTATGTGCTGATAAAGCTGCGGCTGGCCCTGTAGTGCATGTCGCTGAGCAAGCTCAAAACGGTCCAGTCCGAACCTGAGCTGCTCCGTGCTCTCAAAACTTCCACACGAAAGGAGCTTCGAAGGCGCCCAGTCAGTCGCTCAGTGCCGCGAAGGCTCTCGACACCGCCGTAGATGGCCTGCAGCTTGCTCTGGCCACCTGACACGTGGCCAAAACTGCCGCTGGACACCTTTTCAAACCCGAGTAGGGAGCCTGTGACCATGTCGATGAGACGTCCGTTCTTGAGCTTGATGCGGGAGTTTCCGCGCATGTTCCACAGCTGTGGGATCTCCATGTGCGGCTCTGGTGGGGCACCCTTCACGATCTCGTCCGCTAGGCGGTACCATGATGGGTCGATGCGAGCCTTCGAGTCCACTAGGTACTTCGCCATGACGGACGTCTGGACGACGGAGTGTGCGACTTTCTTTCTCATCAACGAAAGAAGCAATGACTCTCACTGCATCGCAGGATCCTACCTTGGCCAGCTCGCGAAGGTGGAAGATGACGCTCTTTCGCTCTGCAATTAGATCGAAGTTGCGGGTGAAGGCCTTCAGGGTTGCAGATTTACAATTCTGACAAGGTAGCACGTACAAAGGTGTGCAGCCTGTCCGTGCAACTAAGCAGCTTCGTGACAGTACCTCTTCCCTTGCTCCCTGCGACCAACAAGAATCAACCTGCAATGCAAGAACGCCTCCGCAAACTTCTTGAGCGGATGTGTGGGCACGGTCACCGGAGCATCCTGTTTCAGCTGGCAGGAAACCATCTGAAGGCCTTCCACTGTTTGCAGGGTCAGTACCCTGCAGAATCGAACCGTTCCAGTGAGCCAGCTGCTTCCGGAAACTACAAGCCGACCTCGGCTTGCGAATTCTGAAATCACGGATGGCTGCGGTAGCTCCTCCAGGCCCTTGGGGGTCACAATCTGCTCACGAGCCTACAGGGCACAATCCAAGACGCATCTTCGCATCGCACATGCGTGTCGGACAAAATTGGAAAGAGAAGCCAAGGTTTGTGGCCTCCACGCCCATGCGAACATGCGGGATGAGAGTCTGATCTTCGGCCATGCGGACCTCAGCCTTCTTCACCACGAACCACTCGCGGCCTAAGTCCCAGATCATGCAGAAATGCATTGCGGCACGGGGGCACGGCACGGGGGTACGGCACGGGGGTACGGCACGGGGGTACGGCACTGGGGTCGCAGCCAGACCAGGTCTTTTCCTTGTCGCCCATCTCGGACCAATCAAAGACGCTGAGCATGCCAAGCACAGGCATGGTGTACTCGCCCAGAGCCAGCTCCTGGTAGCGGAAAAGTCCGGCTGTCTTCATCGCAGTTCTTTACGTCCGCAGTGCTTTGTTTCCAAAGTGTTGACACCCACAACTGCCGTCGCCCTTTCCCAACCCCACACGCCTTCAAGAAGTAGTCTGCCTGGAACATGACATCGCCGGCGCTTGTTCCAGCCAGCCAGGACGGCTCGAAGACCTTCGGTCTATCTATCGATCTATCTATCTATCTATCTGTCTGTCTGTCTATCTGGCTCAACTGCTCTTGTATTGGCAAGGACAGGGATGATTGTGCGCACACACACACACACACGCAATCCGCATAAAACCTCATACTCTGTCATGTCAGTGCATGATTGAGCGGAGTGAAACACAGACCCGGAGAATCAAGCGAACACGTTGGCAGATGTTGGCAAAACAACACTGCCGAATATTGGTGATTGACACTCGCAAAGCAAGATATTCCAAGATCATACCAAGGAAAGGAGGCACTCGGCTGCCTTCTTCTGGGGCGAGTTCTCGAGGTTCTTCGGGTCAATCGGATCCAGGGAAAAGAGGGGCTCTCGCGACGCGGATTTCCTCACCTGACCAAGGCATAAAAAATTGTAAAGATCTCGATGAAACACCTATGTACACAGGTACGCATCTGGGGTATATGCGTGAAAATGTGTATGTGTATGCATGTGTATATGTATATGTATATATGTATATATGTATATATGTATATATGTATATATGTATATATGTATATATGTATATATGTACATATGTATACATGTATATATGTATATATGTATATATGTATATATGTATATATGTATATATGTATATATGTATATATGTATATATGTATATATGTATTTATGTTTATATGTTTATATGTATATATATGTATATATGTATATATGTATATATGTATATATGTATGTATATACATATATATATATATACCTCCGGCATCCACATGGGCTAGGACCTTGCTCACAAATTCCAGGTGTGCCATCGGCCCCTAAACCCTGAACTCTGGACCCTAAAACGGTTCTGTCCTTCTGACCATGCCCAGTTGCATCCTTCACTGCCCCGAGGTATCTTTTTCCCAACGTGGACTGCTTCAATGTGGTGGTGCCGCTTCCGTGGTTTTTTTGGGCCCGCCTAGCCCTTGAGTGGTTCATCTTCAAACCTGAAGTCCCTGCAGACGCGAGGTGTTCGGGAAGGTTTCAGGCGTGGGACCCCGGATGCAGCCCTCATGGAGCCGACAAGCTTTCTTGCCGAGTCGCTGGAGCAAACTTCATGAGGGGTTTGGAAATACAACAGCAGCTTTTCGGTTTCTTTTTGAAGTTTTGCCAGCACCACCGGCAACACCAGTGATAGCAGAAGAAACTGTCAGCAACAAAAGGCAATCATTCATGACCACTGTCATCGTTGCCGACGTCATCGCCAACAGCACCATCACCACCATTATCGCCATCGTCGTCAGCATCAACACCACCTTCATCGTCTAGTACTAGTACTCGTACTAGTACTCGTAGTAGTAGTCATAGTAGTAGTAGTAGTAGTAGTAGTGGTGGTAGTAGTAGTAGTAGTAATCGTAGTCGTAGTCGTAGTCGTAGTAGTCGTGGTGGTGGTGGTGGTAGTAGTAGTAGTAGCAGTAGTGGTGGTAGTAGTAGTAGTAGTAGTAGTACACCAACTACTACTACTACTA